CGGCTCTGTGGGGAGTCGGGTTTAGGCTTTGGGTGCCTGGGACTCGTTGCCCATACATGAAAGGCAGACTCCTGCCCCGCCTGCCCGCTCACCCCATCCAGCCCCTGCGGGAAGCTGCCGGGGTTTGTAAATGTGTAACCGGACAGCTCGCTGAACTCTCTCATTAGCTTAATGGTTTTTCAGATGGTAAAAGGTAATTATTTACTTGCTCCTCTTTGTTGGGTATGTCATTTATTGCCTCCTCCACATCCTTATTTATTTTGCACCTTCCTCCTGGAGGGTCTGAGGCTGTCTGAGAGGTGTTATTCAGAATGCAGACAGTCACTGCCGTTTCGACCCATTTATGAATTACGATCCATCAACAAGACATGATGCTGGTCTCCATGTATACCTTTGGAGCCTAATTCCATATGGAGAGCAATGTATTCCTCCCTCCCTCCCTCCATCTCCTTCTTTCTTTTTTTACATTTCTCTAGAAGACTTTGCCCCCAAGTTTACTCATAATCTTTTAGTGTCTTTTTAAGGTGTGTGTAAACAGCTACTTTTGTTAGATTTTGATCAAATCTCAGTTGGGACAGGATCTGAGTTTCAGAGTCAGGGAACAGGTGGTATTCATTAGTTTTTGGTTACTATAATCGGTCAACATACATCCTTGAACATATATCTCTGTATGCTCAGCCAGTGTTTTGTTGTATATAAGAGTGACTTATATACAACGGGATGGAAGTTTGTTTACAACTTAAACAATAGCACTAAACAAACTAAATAGTTCAAGGCTGGCAGAACAGGGCTAGTATGGTTGTTCTCTGCCACAGAGTCCCAAAGGAGTCTAGTCTCCATTCTAACCCCCGTCCTATCCCTCATAGTACATAATAGCTGCTGGAATTCTGGCGATCACATCTGAGTTCCAGACAGCAGGATGGAGAAAGAGCAGAAGGGCACACTCCCTTAGTTTTCAGGAGACATCTCCAAGTCCCTCACAACTTCGTTAGCCTGTGTTGATCTCACGGCCATGTGCTGCTATAAGGAAGGCTGGGAAATGTAGTCCTTTAGTTGGATGGCCCTTTGCATAACAAAAAAAAATCTGGTCTCTGTGGCAACTAAGGAAGAATGGGACAGTGGCTCATGAGAAGCAGCTGGCAGCCCCTGCCACAGAGTATCATACGATGCCCTACTAATTCCCCCCTCCCACATTTCACCAGTGATAGGCAAACATCGCTCAGAGATGTTGCAGGCAGCTTTTTGTCGGTGGGATTCTGCCTGCTTGATGCCAGCTCCTGCACCTGGGTCTGCAGCCCCCGCACCTCTTCCTCACGTCTTCCTTCCCGCGTCCCTGGCGGCTTTGATCCCAAGGCAGGGCACAAAGTAGGTGCTTAATAATCCTCAGGGATCAATTAGGAGAAAGTGATGACAAAACTCACATTTCTGCAAGGTATTGTGGGATCCGGAAGTGTGTTCAAGGTAATTGCATGTTTTGCTTTGTTTTTTGGTGGGTTTTTTTGTTTGTTTGCTTGTTTGTTTGTTTTTTGAGACAGAGTCTCACTCTGTTGCCCAGGCTAGAGTGCCGTGGTGTCAGCCTAGCTCACAGCAACCTCCAACTCCTGGGCTCAAGTGATCCTGCCTCAGCCTCCCAAGTAGCTGGGACTACAGGTATCTGCCACCACGTCCGGCTGATTTTCTATATATTTTTAGTTGGCCAATTAATTTATTTCTATTTTTAGTGGAGACGGGGTCTTGCTCTTGCTCAGGCTGGTCTCAAACTCCTGACCTTGAGCGATCCACCCGCCTCGGCCTCCCAGAGTGCTAGGATTACAGGCGTGAGCCACTGCACCTGGCCTAATTGCATGTTTTTGAGTGCATGCAATTGATAAGTTTGCTAAAAGAGTACGATAGTTAATGTGTATCGAGCCCTTACCGAGTACCAGGCACCGTTCTAGCACTTGGCACGTTCCTCATCATCACGCTCCTGATGTTGGTACTAGGAGGCTCCCCGTTTTGCAAGAGAAGACTCTGAGGACAGGCGGTTAAGTCACTTGCTCGGCTTGTAAGGGTTGAAGCTGGGATTTGAACCCAGGCGGCTGGCACCTGCTGCTGCTGCTGCTGCTGCAAGGCGGAGCACTAGGGAGGCCCGAGGCAGTGCCGCAGTCTGGGAGTGAGAGAGGACCCAAAGGCATGAGTCCTATCTGCCTCTCAGAAACAAGGGCTGGGCTCAGTCAGGGGCTGCAAGGCCTGCCGAAGGTGGGGGCGGGGGGTTCCTAAGTTAAAGAGGGCAGGAGGGAGCGTTGCCATGTGGCACACAGGCCTGTGTGGCCGGGTCCTCCCAAATACTCCTGAGAAACCGGAAGTCCTGAATGTTGCAGGCCATCTCCTCACTTGCAGATCACGGCATCTAACTGTGCAGAACACCAGGCAAACCAAAACAGCCCGCCTGCTGCCTGGCTTTGGCCAGTGAGCAGACGATTTACAAACCCTGAGCTAACTCATCGAGAAAGTCCCTTCCGCCTTCAAAATGCCGATTCCCAAGCAGCACTGCCCTCAGAGAGCTTCAGTCTCGAGCATCTGCCTGTATAGACCACACAAGAAGACCTGAGCTGAAGGGCCCTGTGGGGCCCAGGTGGGGACACCTGTGAAGCTCGGCCACCAGAGGAGGCTCCCTGGGGGACGGGATCTTGGAGAGGCTTGGATGAGGACAGAGGAAGGGCTGTCGCCTGGCGGCTTCCCTTTGCTCCCTGGGTCCTCCTGGCAGGCCCAGAGCCAGCCCCAGACTGTGCCGTCAGTCAGGCCAGCTTCCAGAGGGAGAGGACAGAGTCTAAGGGCTCCCAGACGGAGGTGACAGGGCGGGGCCAAAGGTAGGTCTGACCACATTCCACCCCAGTGACAGCGCTTCCTGGAGCGGTAGGGGTGGCCAGGGTGGCAGCTGAGGGTTGGGTTCCCAGTGGAGGCAGGAGGAAGGGAGTCTGGGCCTGAGTCAGTCCTGTAGTGGGGACCATGGCGGGAGCTGCCAGGGGCTTTCCCGGCTGAGGCGTAACCACAAGGGACGCTCCTGCTCCTGCTAGAAAGAGGCGGCACAAGTGAGAGACTGTGGCGTGAACTCTGGGGTCCAGAGGTCCCCTGGGCAGGCCGCGTGCTGCAGGGGATCCCATCCAGGTCCCAGGAGAGCCCTGCACGCCTCCGCACCCCCTCTCCCCCATAAAAGGAGGAGATTGGCCAGTTGACACGGCTCTGCAAAATAGTGCATAACTGGTGATTTCAGTTGCTACCTCCTGGAGGAACATTTTCCTTTTTTTTTTTTTTTTTTTTTGAGACAAAGTCTCACTTTGTTGCCTGGGCTAGAGTGTGGTGGCATCATTATAGCTCACAGCAACCTGTGAGCCCAAGTGATCTTCCTGCCTCAGTCTCCCAAGTAGCTGAGACGACAGGCACCTGTCACCCATGCTCAGCTAATTTTTGTATTTGTAGTAGAGACAGGATCTTGCTCTTGCTCAAACTACTGACATCAAGCAATCCCCCTGCCTTAGCCTCCCAGAGTGGTGGGGTTACAGGTGTGAGCCACTGCGCCCAGCCTCTTTTCTCTTTTTTAAATTTTCATAGTCATGTATTAATTTTCATGTGAATTAGAAAAATATAACTATGTCACCACCAAACCTGCCATTTCACAATAACCAGAGCTAACTCTCAGTGAGTGCCTGCTGTGTACCAGGCACTGTCTGAAGTAACATCAGCCGACCCACAAACACATGACATCTCACTACTAACTGTGAGGTTCATACTGTCATTGTCCTCTACGTGCAGATCAGGGAAATGAGGCACAGAGAAGAAAAGTCCCTTGCCCAAGGTCACCCAGCTAGTAAGTGGAGGCTGGAGCAGGTGGTCTTCAATGGCCTGCCCAGCTAGAGAGTTCTATACTTTCAGGACTTAAAAAGCCAGATTGAAATTTTATTTCAGGAAGCCATATTTTTTCCATTAAGTAATATGTTCACAACATTCTCAAATCAAAACTATATTAAAAGTTACATAGGCCGGGCGCAGTGGCTCAGGCCTGTAATCCTAGCACTCTGAGAGGCCGAGGTGGGAGGATCGCTTGAGCTCAGGAGTTCAGAGACCAGTCTGGGCAAAAGCGAGACCCTGTCTCTACTAGAGATAGAAAGAAATTATCTAGACAACTGAAAATATGTAGAAAAAATTAGCCGGGCATGGTGGCGCGGGCATGGTGGCGCATGCCTGTAGTCCCAGCTACTTGGGAGGCTGAGGCCGAAGGATTGCTTGAGCCCAGGAATGTGAAGTTGCTGTGAGCTAGGCTGACGCCATGGCACTCTAGCCCAGGCAACAGAATGAGACTCTGTCACAAAAAAAAAAAAAAAAAAAAAAGGCATATAGAGGTGCCACCGAAATCCCAGTGTGTCCTTCAAGGGTTGCTTTAGGCAAATACAAGCAAAGAAAACATATTCTTCCTCCTCTTCTGCATCTGAAAGGCAGCACACTATGTACACCTACCTTGATTTTGTTTCAAGATTATCAAGATAGCCTGGAGACCTTTCCCTATCAGCCATCATGATCTGCTTTCCTCATTCCTTATTCCTTTAAACAGGTGTTTGGTATTCCAGAAGGTCTCTTTACCCCTCTTCTATTAATAGCCACAGAGGAGAAACTTCTCCATATTTTGCTGTTACCAACAAAAGCAACAATGAATAATCTTGTACATGAGTTGTTTTGTCCAGAGCAAGTAATTTTGGCTTTCGTACAATCCCATGGCGGAAAATGGCCCCTTGGAGTCATTTTCCCATTGTGAATGACAGTGATAATCTTTTCATATGTTTAAGGGTTACTCGTAACATTTTTCTCTGAATGTTCATATCCTTGGGCCACTTCTTTATTGGATGTTTTTGTTCTTGATTTCTAAAAACTCTTTATGTATTAGGAAAATGAGCCCTCTGTCTGTGATTTATGTTGCAGTTATTTCCCCCAGGTCGTCATTTTTCTTTTGACCTTGCTGTTGATATTTTTTGCAGAAGGTGTTTTGTTTGCTGGTTCACCATTGTACATTTGACATTTATGCAGTTGAATGTATCAAACTTTTCTTTTGTGGCCTGTGGATGTTTGAGGCATGGGTAGGGAAGCCTTTCCCACTGGAAGGTTAGTTATAAAGGAATTCTGGTTTTCTGCTAGAAGAAAGCCAGCTTGTTCTTGGGAGAGGGAATGATAAAAGAAACCCCTGGGCCCAAAAGCCCAGTCTCTTGCTAGGCAGTGAAGTTGAAATCGCTCACCGGTGTCTTTCCCCATCAGCCCCGCTGCAGACTGACCTGGGAGGCAGCAGCCTCTGGCCAGGGAGGACACCGCCATGGCCCTCCTGATACACCTGCTGGTCTGCGTCTTTGGAATGGGTTCCTGGGTAGCCATCAACGGGCTCTGGGTGGAGCTGCCCCTGCTGGTGACGGAGCTGCCCGAGGGCTGGTACCTGCCCTCCTACCTCACAGTGGTCATCCAGTTGGCCAACATCGGCCCCCTCCTGGTCACCCTGTTCCATCACTTCCGGCCCGGCTGCCTTTCCGAGGTGCCCATCATCTTCGCCGTGCTGGGAGTGGGCACCCTCGCCTGTGTCCTCCTCGCCTTCCTCTGGAATGTGACCTCCTGGCTCCTGGGTGGCCTCCACAGCATTCCCTTTATAGTCCTCACCTTCTTCCTGTCCCTGGTGGACTGCACCTCTTCGGTCACCTTCCTGCCCTTCATGAACCGGCTGCCCACACAATACCTCGTCACCTTCTTTGTGGGTGAAGGGCTCAGCGGCCTCCTGCCCGCCCTGGTGGCTCTCGCCCAGGGCTCGGGTCTCACCACCTGCGTCAACGTCACTGAGGTGCCAGACGTCATGCCAAGCCCCAGGAGCAGCAGGGAGGCCAACATCACACAGGTACCCAGTGTCACCCTGAGCCATCGCAGCACTCTGTGCTTGAGCATGAGTGTAGAGGACGGGAAATTCTGCTCCCTCCACCCTTCTGGGTTGACATAAGGCAGATTAACAGCAGAAAAACCATTTTCATTACATTAATATGCATGCACAGAAGTGCCATAATAACATGACACTCGGCCGGGCGCGGTGGCTCACGCCTGTAATCCTAGCTCTCTGGGAGGCCGAGGCGGGCGGATTGCTCGAGGTCAGGAGTTCAAAACCAGCCTGAGCAAGAGCGAGACCCCGTCTCTACTATAAATAGAAAGAAACTAATTGGCCAACTAATATATATAGAAAAAATTAGCCGGGCATGGTGGCACATGCATGTAGTCCCAGCTACTTGGGAGGCTGAGACAGAAGGATCGCTTGAGCCCAGGAGTTTGAGGTTGCTGTGAGCTAGGCTGACGCCATGGCACTCACTCTAGCCTGAGCAACAAAGCGAGACTCTGTCTCAAAAAAAAAAAACAAAAAAAAAAACATGACACTCAAGGAAAGGCCAGGTAATGGAAGCTTCTATAGCATCCCGAGCTACAGAAAGGAACAGAGGCTTCTGGGGGTGGTAGAGACAAATTATGGGGTGTGAGGAGAAGAAATGTATGGTAACAGGTTGCCTTGTTATGTGGATAAAAGTCTCTTGGGTGATAAAGGTTGTCACCTGTCTCTTCCTGGTACAGATATCACTTCCTGGTACAGATGCCTTTACTAATAAAAATTCCATTTAGGCGTAAATTTCCTTTACAAAAGGGCAACTTTTCAGAGCTATGCCTGAGTCTGCAATTTCTTAAAATAACCTGCTGGAAATAATCAATATGCACAAGAGGTCTATTCTGGGGTGCTATATTCTGGTGTCCTGTGGTCATATTTTGGGGTGGTGTGTCCCGAGATCATGTGGCATGCTCCTGTCCCTAGGCACCTTGGGGAAGCGTACCAGCGGGGCCCCACACATCCCGACGGATTAAATAAAATCCCCTGAGGATGGGGCTTAACTGAAGTGCTTGGGTCAGATTTTCTTTTGGAGCATGGAGTTCTAGCCTGCAGGACATGCCTGGCCTGCCACCCCCCAGCGTCCACACCCCGAGGGCACAGCAGGGCTGTGGACAGCCTCACGTCCGTTCATGTGTTGCTGCCAACTGAGCCCTGAAAAATGTTGCCTTTCAGAGCTTCTTAGATTCCAGAATTGTAGATAAGGGATTGTGAGCATGTATTTATCCAAAATTCCCCGGGCGATGCTAACATACAGCCAGGTTGAGAACCAGAGACTTCAGACACTGCTTCAATACCTCATCGTTAAGACACCAAACTTTTCATCGCTGGATATTGAACAGTTTACATAAGTCTGGTGTTATCCAAACCACAGTTGAACAGCAGCAGTTGCAAACCAATGGCTCCGGGCCGTGTTGGCTTGCAAGTATCTTTTTTTAAGTGTTTGAATTAGTCGATATTTAACAATTTTTGAAAGTTCACATATCTAAAACTGGATGTATGACATCTCCCGAAAGAGATCTGGCCGAGACAGGCCACATCACCATGGGGCAACCTTGGTGGGGAGGCTCTACTCCTAGTGGGGAGAATCCCCCATTCACAGTCTCCAGCTAGTCCTCGCTCTGCACGTTTGTGGGTGCCGCCTCCTTGGGGTGGCAAAGTGGCAAAAGGTATAGCACTAGTGTTAGTCCACTTTGCATTGCTATAAGAGAATACCTGAGCTGGGTAATTTATAAAGAAAAGAGGTTTATTTGGCTCACCGTTCTGCAGGCTGTACAAGAAGCGTGGTGCAGACACCTGCTTCTGGTGAGGGCTGGCTGCAGGGAGCTTCCAACGGAGGCGAAGGACCAAGGGGAGCAGGCGTGTCACATGGCGGGAGGGGTTAGAGGAGGGGCCATGCTCTGAGTGAACTAATAAAACAAGGACTCATTCATTACCTTGGGGAGGACACCAAGCCATGCATGAGAGATGTGCCCCCATGATCCAAAAGCCTCCCACCAGGCCCCACCTCCAACACTGGGGATCAAATTCCAACATGAGATTTAAAGAAGACAAACACCCAAACCATACCAGCATCTGAGTCAGAAAGCACCACGTGGACTGGCTTTGCCATGATCTACCCACCACCCTGGGGTAAGTGACAAACCATTCTGACCCCTCAGTCCCCTGTAGAATGGGGCGTCCTGGTCCCCCGTGCACAGGGCTGTCAGGAGCCACACAGGGCTGATATGTGCAAGAGTCCGGTGCTCCCTGGGCGATAGGTGCCAGCAATTATTTTTGCTACCTTGTTCGTTTATTCGTCAATTATCAATTACCGATAATAGGTAACAGGCATTACGTATCATCCTAGTGATTACTGTTGCTGTTGGCTGCATTCCAACTCCCTCCAGGGATCTGACCGCCCTGTCTCCCTCCGCAGGCCGTTCCCAGCTCCCTGGCGTCAGCACCCAGGACGGCGACCCCCGCAGTGCGGCTGCAGAGCCGCTACCTCCCGCCGCACTTCTCGCCCCTGGTCTTCTTCCTCCTGCTGTCCTGCATGATGGCCAGCTGCTTCGTCGCGTTCTTCCTCCTCCAGCGCCAACGCAGGTGCTGGGACGCCTCCGTGGAGGACCTCATCAACTCCCAGATCGCCCTCCCCTCCATCCGGCCGCGGGAAGAGAAGGACTTGGGCCCCCCGGGCCGCAGCCAGGGCCAGGAGCGCAGAAAGGAGAAGGCGGCCCCCCACCCGCCGGCTCACCTGGCCTTCATCTACACGCTGGTGGCCCTCGTGAACGCGCTCACCAACGGCGTGCTGCCCTCCGTGCAGACCTACTCCTGCCTGTCCTACGGGCCTGTCGCCTACCACCTGGCCGCCGCCCTCAGCTCCATGGCCAACCCTCTCGCCTCCTTCCTCTCCATGTTCCTGCCTAACAGGTCTGCCCCCATCTGGCCCTGGGGAAGCCTGTTTGGGGGAGCACTTCATTCCAGAACCCAGAATTCCAAACCCTGCCTGCTGGGCCGTGTGTATAGTAGTTAAGAAGATGGTTTCTGGAGCTCAACTTCCCGGATCCAAATCCCAGCCCTGCCACTTGCACCAGCTGTGTGATATTGGACAGGTCACTTCACCTCTCTGTGCTTCGGAGACATTTACCTGGAAAATGGGGGTAATAACAGGTCTACTTCCTAGGACTGCTGGGGCCTGAGATGAGCCAATTCTGGAAAGCTTTTGGAGAAATGCCTGGCACACGGCAGGTCCAGCCTAAGTGTCACCTGTCACTGCCATCAGGCAGTGAGGAGGGGCAGGTGGCTACTGAGGTTCCCATTACAAGTGGAAACCCTGAGGCTTGGAGAAAGGGCTTGACCTGGTCCAATCCCCAGGATTTCAACCCTGCCTCAGCCCTGCAGCTGGTTCCGTTAGACCCACGGCAGTTCTAGAAGAATGGCTGGGCAAGTCAATAAGATGCAGATGGAGCCAGCTTGGATTGGGAACAGAGATTTCAATTTTTACTAAGCAACCCAAGTGGTTCTGACCCCTGCAGGAGAAACACTGTCTTAGGATCTTGACGTTTTAGGTCCCAGAGCTTCCCATCCACCCCTGGCCTGCCTGCCCCACTGCCTCCCAGGCCTGCTCACAGCCACCACCCAGCCCAGGAAGGAGCAGAGTGAGGACAGGAGAGCTAGACAGAAAATGGATGTTGCCAGGAGGTTGGATTTTCTCCCTGGGGGCCTAAAACCATGGAGAGAGGATGGAGGAATTGGGGGAAGTAGGCCCAGAGGCCCAGACCTGCAGAACCTGAGAAACCCCAAGTGTTGGAAGCACAGAACCTGAGAGTCATGCAATCCAGGAATCTGGGAACAGGAAGAGGCCTTAGGGCAGCGGCAGACCCCCTCTGTTCTCGCCCAGGGCACAGACCAGTCTTGGTGCTCTGGGGACTGGACGGTGGGACCCCAGGGACAAGGACTTAAAGGGAAGAACAATGTCCTCAGTTGTCAGGCCTGGGGTTTGCATGGAAGGCCGTTTGCAGAGTGATGCTGCCACAGCCACGACCCAGCTGCCTGGGCCCCTAGGGATCATGCCGCTCATGTTGCAGACTGGCATCACTGAGGCTAGACTGGGGGGGTCACCTGAGGTCACACAGCATACCTTGAAATGCCAGTGCCAAAATCAAAGCTGCCCTCTCATCAGTCTGGCTTCCTGGCTGAGGTTGGCACATTGCAGGAGCTAATGACAGCAGATAAAATGCCAGGTGGGGCCCACAGCGCAGAGCCGTGTACTCTGCTCCTGTGGGTCACCACAGCCCTGCACGACTTCCATGCTGAAGGCTCAGGGACCAGTCTCGAAACTTAAATAGTGGAAGTGGAATTTGAACCAGGCCCATCTGGTGCCAGAGTCCATTCTGTTTCTCTTGCTGGGTACGCGGCCCTGCCATTAATGCTCGGGTGACTCAGGCCGTCCCTGCCCCTCAGGAGCCTCACTGACCCATTTGAGCCAGATAGCCTGGAGTTCAACCTGACCTGCAGAGGTTGAGGTTCCACATGGCCCCAGGGGCAGGGGGAGGCACGGAGGTCAGGCCTCTCACCTCCTTCACTCACCTCCCATCCCCACCTGCACTCTAGGTCTCTGCCATTCCTGGGGGGCCTCACAGTGCTCGGGACCAGTTTCGGGGCCTACAACATGGCCATGGCTGTGAAGAGCCCCTGCCCCCTGCTGCAGGACCACTGGAGTGGGGACGTGCTCATTGTGAGTATCCCGCCTCGCGGCTGCTCCCCTTCCCCCGCCTCCCACCTGCTAGCCACGGCCTGGGGAGACCCCAGGTACAGCCCTTTCTACTGCCCAGGGGCTCCGGTCTCTCTCCCAGGAAGTCCCAGGGGGGAGGGGACCTTCTCATTTGGGAGGCTTAGGGAGTTGAGGTGACTGGTTCAGCCACACTTCCCACCACGGGCACCGCAGCAGCGGCCTTGTCTCAAGTGCCCTTGACTTGATCACGGGGCCAGAAAAGCCACTGGGTTTTCCCTTGCCCCTGAAGGGGGGGTGGTCAGCTCATGGGACCCCCACCCCACCCTTAGCCCGGCAGGATCACCTCCAAAGGCTCTCCTTGCCCATGGGTTTCCCTTAGTCCTTCAGGTCACCCCGTGAGGGCTCTTCGCCCCCGCCACTCTGCCTCTCTTCCCGCCCGGCCCGCAGGTGGCCTCGTGGGTGCTGTTCACCGGCTGTCTGAGCTACGTCAAGGTGATGCTGGGCGTGATCCTGCGCGACTGCAGCCGCAGCGCCCTCTTGTGGTGCGGGGCGGCGGTGCAGCTGGGCTCGCTGCTCGGGGCGGTGCTCATGTTCCCGCTGGTCAACGTGCTGCGCCTCTTCGTGTCTGCCGACTTGTGCAACGTGCACTGCCCCGCCTAGGCCAGACCCCGACCGCGCCCCGGCACCCGGTCCTGGAAGCTGGGACCCAGAGAGCCAAGGGGTGTGCCCAAGGGCATGGAGCAAATGGTGGGAGCAGGAAGGCAGAGGCTGAGCACTTGAACCAGGAACGCTGAGCACCCCTTAGGGATCGTGGGGAATGTCGCAGGCTTCCCATGGGGCCTGGAAACTCTGTATCACACTCCCTGAGTCTCCACCGCTTCCATCTTCTTTCCTTTGACTCTTGAGAGAGAACTGATTTGCAGCACCCAGCTGGAGCGCCCGAGGATGTAAGAAGGCAAACAGCTGGGAGGGTGAGCTGTCCCCTGCAAGCTGTGTGGTCTCAGGGAGGTCACTTGACTTCTCTGTGCTTCTGTTTCCTCATCCATAAAATGGGGATTATAAGAAAGAGCACCTACCTCATAGGCTTGGCCCGAGGATAAAAGGGTGAAGCACCGGCAAAGCCCTCCTGGGCACTTCCTGATCTGACATCCCACAGTAAGAACAAGAATGGCGATGAACACAACCTAGAAGTGGCCAGAGGGGTCGAGAGAGGGCCCTGCCCTCTCTCCCTTCTCCCATATCCTCACGGAGGAGCTCCTACAAGACAGATGGCTACTGGTAGAGCCTTGGGCATGTTGGCTTTCTAATTCCTAGTACAGAAGGACATTGTGCCCACACACACTTTCCTGTCATCCTTCCTGGCACATGAAGCCCTACTCCTTGGAGGGTATGTGCCCCCCTGGGGGGCAGAGCTGATTGGAAGGAGCCAGCCCCAACTCCGAACAGTGAACACCTCCCCACCCCCCACCCTCCCCCACCCCACCCCCCGCCAGGCTGAGGACCAGATACTGAGGAGCCTTGGACGCAGCTTCCTCTACTGGAGGGGAAAGGGGTGGTAGTTATTTTCTTTTACTTTTTGTCTTTCTTTTTTTTTTTTAAATAAAGACATTCCCTGCTTTTACACAGATCAACCTGCAATGGAGAAGTCCAATGTGAACCTAAAACATGTATCAACATAATCAGTTTTCAGTCGATTCTAAGGTCAAGGCTGAGCTCAGAAATGAACAAGATCAAGTGGATAGAGAATGTTGGGTCCTGGGACGTCTGTTTAGAGGGTTTGCTTGCTCATCGCCACTGCAACCCTCATCCTCCGTTTTAACTTATTCTGAATAGGTAATATAGTGGTATGTCTCAAAACTCAGAGAATATAAAATGGTATGCAGAGAAAAGCCTTCATCCCTCTCCTCTCCTCTCCTCCATCTGCCCAGTTCCTCTTAAAACACACACACAAGCACTTTTATTGGTTCCCTTGTTTACCCTTCCAGAGATTATGCAAATATAAGCAAATACAAATATATGATCTTCTTCTCAGACCTCTTTTTACAGAAAAAATAGTAAGTTATTTTGCACCTTGCACTTTTCACTCAGCAATGAAAATGGACAGGGCTCCTCATTCTTTGTCACGACTGGGCAGGAGTCCGTTGTGTGGAGGGGCCCCATTTATCTAAGCCAGCCCTCAGCAGAAAGACATTTAAAGTGTTGGGGACAAAATTAAAATGTCCCGTTAATCCAGAAAACCTTTCCACAAAAGCCGAAGAGAAAGGAAGCAGTCTTATTACTGAACAAGCATTAGGCCAGACTGCAGCGCGCATTCCAGGCGACGCAGGAGAGAGACTGCAAAAGCAGAAAGACACGTCTTCCCTTTGGATGGCCGGGCAGGTACAACTTACTGCACACATGTCCTCAACAATAACCAGTCCTCAAGTAAAATGGCCAGACAGCACCATTTGTCATATAGTTCATCCTGAATGTATTGGGTAATTGGAGCGGCCATCTGTTAGTTAATTGTCTTTATCCAAAGGAGACATAAATGTGTATCTTCAGGATAGGTGATGGTTTTGCAACCTGGGGCCGTGCACTGAAGTTAGGCTCCTCCTCTCTCTCAGAGGCTGGGTGATAAGGGTGCCATCTTCCTTGAAATTTACCTTCCAACATGTTGGCTCACGAGTCCTTAGGAAAACATCTCTGGGTTATAAAACTGCAAGAGGCTCATGTCACTTTTCAAAAGGCACATCTTGGCCACGTGTGGTGGCTCACACCTGCAATCCTAGCACTCTGGGAGGCCAAGGTGGGCGGACTGCTCGAGGTCAGGAGTTCGAAACCAGCCTGAGCAAGACCCCTCCTCTACTAAAAATAGAAAAAAATTAATTGACCAACTAAAAATATATATACAAAAAATTAGCCGGGCATGGTGGCACATGCCTGTAGTCCCAGCTACTCAGGAGGCTGAGGCAATAGGATCACTTGAGCCCAGGAGATCGAGATTGCTATGAGCTAGGCTGATGCCACGCACTCACTCTAGCCTGGGCAACAAAGTGAGACTCTGTCTCAAAAAAAAAAAAAAAGCCACATCTTAAAGGGACAGAGACTTTGCAAGTTTTCCAAAGTATTTACTCCAAGAAAAAGGAAGGGGCAATGTCTCTTTCTTTTTCTGCACCTTGGGGAACTTGACCCAGTCAGTCCCGTCCTAGGTTTGGGCAGGTCCAGCCTCCACTCAGGAATCCTGGACCCAGGCCCAGTTTCTGCCCTGCCCTGTCCTTCCCTGCCTTGGGGCGCTCTGCTCCCAGTGGGCGTGGCTTGACTGGCTCATACCTTTTAACACTTTAGAGGTATGGCCTGTGCCTAGGGCTGCATGTGTGTCCCAGGCCCTGCAAATGGGGCAGGATGCTAGCAGTGGAGGGAGTGTGAATTATTCGCCCCGTAGCACCTCCCCACCTCCCCTCCCATCCACCCCGGGCCCAGCACACGGCCTCACTCTGAGAAGGGCTCAACAAATATTCCATGTAGGCAGAAGAGCTCCCAAAGATGTAGAGGCCCTCATTCCTGGAACCTGTAAATACGTTACTTTACATGGCAAAAAAGACTTTTGCAGATGGACTGAAGGTTCCAGACTTTAAAATAAGAAGATTATTTAGGAACACCTGAGCAGGCCCAATGGAATCCCATGAGCCCTTAAAAGCAGAGAATTGCAAGAGACTCAGCGAAGGAGACAAGCCGCAGGAGTCAGGGAGACTCCAAGGTGAGAAGGATGTGCCGCCCTTGCTTGTCCTTGCTGGCTCTGGGACGGAGGAGGAGCCGGTGCATGAGGACCGAGAGCTTGGAGCCCGTGGGCACTGAGGGCAGCCCCAGCTGACAGCCAGCAAGCAAGCGGGGATCTCAGCCCGCAACCCCGGATTCGGCCAACAACCTGAGTAACCTGTAACCTGGAAGCGGACCCTCTCCCAGAGCCTCGGGAAGGAGCGCAGGCCTGCCAACACCCTGACGTCAGCCTCCTGAGACCTGGCTCTGACTTCCAACCAACGGAACTGTGGAATGATAAATTTGCCTTGTTTTAAAGCTACTGATCCACTCAGGAGGCCGAGGCGGGAGGATCACTGGAGTCCGGGAATTGAAAGCCAGCCTGGGTAATGACACCTTGTCTTTAAAACAAAGAAACAAAAACCTGTTGTTGTGGTCGTTCTTGGCAGCTGCGACAGGAAACTGATACAACCTAGTTCTGACATCCCATAAGCCTGTAAGGTGTGTTCACGTGCATCATGACAGACGCAAAACAGCCAGAGTCACCCCAAAAATGGGTTTGTGAAGTTGGGACACAAAAGTCACTCTAGTTGGCTGAATCCAAGGTTCTTTCTAATGAGCTGTTGGCATAAATACTGAGATTTGTCCACACTTCAGATTCGTCCTGGAGGAAGGTGGGCTCAGGATCTTGGAAATCTCAAATAGACCAGGACTGTTTTGAGGACAGCCCCCAACGTCATCTGAAAGAGACTTGGTGAGTATTCCATTTCCTCGAGGTTGTGCATCCCCGCTGAGGCCCACGCCAGCGACCCTCAACTTCATGGCTTTAAAGAGCCTTCCCACTGCCGCCCTTCCCGGTCGGCCATATGCCAGGGCATGGGGTCATTCCTGCTGTCATCTGCAAAGCACCTCCCCATGCCCTGGGCTCTTTCTGAGGCTTTACTTATTTAATGCTCAAAGAAGCCCTATGAGATACTTGCTATTATTATCAGTCCTGTTTTGCAAATAAAGAACTCAAGGCACAGAGATGTTAAGTATCTTGCCAGAGGTCACACAGCCAGTGAGTGGCAGAACCAAGACTCGGACCCAGGCCGCCTGGCTCTGCATCACATGTTCGCTCTGTGTCAGAAACATGAGCCTCAAAGCATGTGACTTGGTCAAGAAAACCTTGATTCAAAGCAAGCACTGGCTTCAGATGGGGAAACTGAGTCACAGGGAAATAAAGGTCCTCCCTAGATCGTCACCTTCTGGCTCGACCTTGGAAAGTTGAAATCCACTCCCGTGGCCCCTCATCCATCACCCACCACACACACACAGACTCCTTTGGAAGTGAATAAAAGGGCAGAGAAATTAAGTGCTCTTCTAGACAGGATGTGATTACACACCCAGACTGATGGCGAATCACTTTCAGAGTGACTAGCAGAGGATCTGAGCATTGCCAGAGAAGTGTTGTCATGCACTTTGTTCTGCGGTTCTGGTTTTATAATGGGAGAGCCTTTCCTGATTCTCTTCATCGTGTTCCTAGGAGTGAAATCTGGGGAAGTGCTGTGGTTGGCAAATGCCGGTGATATTTGGGGCTGTGCCTTTCATTTGGAAACTGCTGGCTGGGCAGCTGGCAGCTGGGCGTGCCTTAGACAGAGGGCTGCTCTATGATGACTTGTGACTTGGCCGGGCCAGCAACTTCTCCCAGAGTGCAAGACACAGGGCCTTTTTGATGGGGAAAGATAGTATCACTGAGACAATATGGGAGAGCAACAAGCAGTACCGATAGTTGCTACAACATCCATTCTCTTGTTTGTTTCATAGTTATAGAACCCCTGACTTTTCACCCGGCACCATGCAGCCCAGAGTACAGACCACACTTGCCAGGCTTCCCTGTGCCTAGGAGTGGCCATGTGACTACGTTTAGACAAATGGGATATGATCAAGAATAATGTGTGCAAATTCTGGGTTATGTACTTAGAAGGAAGGAGCAGGCCCTTCACTTCCCATTCCCCCCCCCAGCAGGAATACAGATGTAATGGCTGGATCTGGAGCAGCTGTCTTGGATCATGAGGAGGAAGCCATGGATTGAGAATGATACATATGCTTATGTATAACTTACAGTCACACACAACGTGGACTGGAAAAATATATACCAAAATGTTAGCCTAGTTAGTTCCAGGAGAGGAGAGGGATTTCAGGTGGTTTTTATTCCTTGACACTTTGTTGTACTCTGAATTTTTCTTTGAACATATGCTATTTCAAAATTCAACAATAATAAAGAAAAAGTAAGAAAAGAAGAGTTCTATAAATAGATCCTATTGTTTAATTCACCTGCATTTGCTGCAGATGAGCCTCCAGAGCTCACGTACATACATGCTTGGACTTAGG